TTTGTACATTTGCCCAAAACCAGTCAAAATGACTTCCTTGGGCAATCTAGTGTTAAATTCGATTGGTAATTTGAGAAATAGAGTAGCTGTCGGAGATGCATAAGTTGCAAATGAACTTTCTAACCATCCCATTCATCCGTTCGTGAGAATGCGTTGTTGCGCTATTGAAAGAGGAAGAAACGCGTAATAGTGGGCGGCCGTTATCTCCCGACGTGGCTCTCATTTTTCTGTTCATTCGAATGCAGGTTGCGAGGCCTGGCTAACGGACACGTTATCTTTACGTGATCGGCAAACGAGCATTTCGAAACGAGCGCGTGGCTCTCTCGCGTGGAAACCCGTGAAAGGAAAAGCGCGGAAATCTTGTTGCAAAAAATTTACCCGATGCAAATTTCCCCATGAATCGAATTCCTGATTTTACCTTTTTTCTACACGAACACACCTCCAGTCGTTGAAAGCTTTTATCTGTACGAACGAGCTTCGTACGTTCGTGCATTCGGTTTGATTTAATTAAAACGTAATTTTTTTCGATTGAACGAACGCTTGCAAACATTTGAATTAGCAACAAAGTAAATTCTTTGTATTAATTTAAATTAATGTAAATTTCTTTTTTTTATAAATCATTTTACAATAATTTTTATTAAGAATTTCTGAAATACTGACAGTGAGAAAAAATGAAAAAAAAAATCATTTCTTATTATAGTTAAATATGAGACGCGTTTGTGTGACACGATATGGTCCAATTTGTCGCAAGACGGAACATAGCGTACTAGTTTCGGCGCGAGAGTGAAACAGGGTTTCCCGTTTCTTTTCTCGTGATTCAGGAGGCGAATCACGGTGCGTGACTGTGAATCCTAGCGCGGGTTTCAACCATGAAACAACAGCCGAGGCTGACTCCCTTGTTTTACGAGTTCGCTTCGTTCTCCGGCTCGCCTTGCCGTTTCTTCATTCTCTTAACAATCCGTTATTTTAAACACGCTCACGAAGAATATTAGGTCGTTCAATAAACCTCCAGCAAGATTTAAGTTTGGTTCGAACTTTTAGAATTAGGAGGAGGAGGAAGGAGAAGATTTAGTATTGCTCGTCTTTTAGGAAAATTTATAATATCAGTTTGTAGAAATATATGAGTCGTTTCTGTTTGACGAATTTAATTTATTTACATTTATTAACAATTAGTTTACAAAAATTGTGAATACAAAACAGAAATAATAGAAAATAAGATCTGTCTTTCACGTTCGAAAATTCTTGGGTAAACTCATTGTGTTCGATTTCTTATTCTCTTCCCTTCAACGTTCGAGTTGAGCTCCTTTTGTTTCGATGCTTAAGCAATCAGACAGTTGAATCGGTTCGATCGTGTTTGTTTCTTGAGACAACCCGCGGCGTTTATTCACGTACATACGAGGGAATCATCCCGGTAATGAAGCTTGCCCGAAGTAATTTGAATGTGAAAGGAAAAACATCGGATGGTTAACACAATTCCGATTCTCGAGGCCCCGAATATTCAGCGAGGCCAACGTCTGCACGTACACATGTTCGCCGTTAACGAGGTTCTTTGATCGTGGATTCGTGTCACAGATTTGTCCGTCGAATATTTTCCAACAAACGAGCGGAAACACCGACTTCCTTCTCTACTTTTTCAACGTCCAACAGTTACACTTTATTCCCCGTCGTACGTTGGTATTAGGAGCCCAATCATGTCTCCTGTTTAATTGGATTATAAAAATTAAACTACGTTTACTTATGCAATATTCTATTTAATTCTATTTGTATAAATCTAGTGAATAGAGAACTCTATTTTATTACTCGATGCATTTGCTTATTTTATTCTGCTTTTCTTTGACTAAATGCAATCTTGCTGTTGCTCATGTTCGTCGAATTTATGATTCGGTAAATTGCTTGCAAGAAGATTCATATATTGATGTTTCTTGGTTTGGTAGAAAGTAATTTCTGTTTTTGTAATGCATTGGATATATGAAAATTGAAATTACGTTCTTGTCAATAGAAATCGAATCATGTCTTGAACAATTGAAGTATAAAAATTATACCACGTTTGCATATGAAATATTCTTGCATATGAATTCTTTTTTGTATGAATCTTGCGAATAGGGAAATGTACTTTATTACTCGATGCATTTGCTTATTTCATTCTGCTTTTCATCATATATTGATGTTCTTTGGTTTGGTAGAAAGTAATTTCTGTTTTTGTAATGCTTTTGATATGTGAAAATTGAAATTACGTTCTTGCCAGTTCAATACAAGTTGAATCATGTTCTGGTTAAATGAATTATAAAAATCACACTACATTTGCTTTTACATATGCAATATCCTATTCAGTTCTATTTATATGAATCTTGTGAATAGAGAAATGTACTTGTGTACTGAATGCACTTGCTTATTACATTCTGATTTTCTTCATCATATATTGATATTACTGGGTTGGGTAGAAAGTGATTTCGGTTTTTGTAGTACTATGGACATGTGAAAACTGAAATTACTTTCTTGTCAGTTCAATATAAATCGAATCATGTTCTGGTTAATTGAATTATAAAAATGATGCTGCATTTGCGTTCTTCTTTTCTTCGTCATCTGTTATTATTACAAGTCTAATTATAAATCCTGATTAATTGTATTCTTTTTATTATAAAAATTCAACTGCATTTGCTTGTATTCATATAAATCTGCTTGCAGTATTCATTTAATTCTATTCAGTTCTATTTGTATGAATCTTGTAAATAGAGAAATGTATATTTGTATTAGAAGTACTGATGCATTTGCTTTCTTCTTTTCTTCGTCATCTGTTATTATTATAAGTCTAATTATATCTGCTGATTAATTATATTCTTCGTATTATAAAAATTCAACTACATTTGCTTGAATTCATATAAATCTGCTTGCAGTATTCATTTCGTTTCAATTGAATTCGTATGAATCTCGTGTAAATGCATTCGTACTTGTACTCGATGCATTTGCTTATTCCATTCATCAGCTCTGATTCATTTCGTAAGTGGCTATCGCTTAAACGTTAAACAATATTCGCCGTTTAAACTGAGACGCTGAGTCGCAGTAAAAGTGGGTTATGAACTCGCATTGGCTCCAAGTTCCAGCTTCGCAGAGGATCGAATTATCTCGTTAACCTTTCCACCGCGGCAGTAATTCTCTTATCGAATCGCTTCTACCGGAATTCACGCGTAATTCTTGTACGTATCAACGAATCATCGGATCAGCCATTTTACACGGAATCGTTTCAAACCAGCGACGGTCGCGTACTTAAATCGTAACAGGAATTTCTCTTGGCATCGGATCTAAGTCCGGCTAAATGCAATGTCGCTGTTGCTCCTGTTCGTCGAATTTGTGATTCGATAAATCACAGGAAGCTTGTATCGTGACTATTGTTAGATCGTACGATACTCAACGATCTGCTTTACGTTTCGGAAATGTTAGAATGTTTTAACACTAGCTTGCCCAAGGAAGTAATTTTGACTGCTTTTGGGCAAATGTACAAATAATAATGCATAAATTATTTTTTTTCCCAAGCGAAGTAAATTTTTTTTATTGTTAACATTTACTAATAACTTGTTATATGGCTGTAAATAATATAAAAAATATTAAAAATTAATTTTAGACAAATTTCTTTACACATTATTCTTTCACAATGCAGTCATTTTTACTGCTTTTGGGCAATATAGGTATATACTAAGTTTCAGTCTTTCTACTGTTAAAGCCGATGTAAGAACACGTAGTGTTTGAAACAGGGAGCTCATTCTTTTCTCGACGTGTCGTGCATAATGAGAGTCTCGTACAAGCAAATTTCTAAGCCAGTCTTATCGAAAATTACGTAACGGCCGAGTCGTTCGTTTCGTATTTCAAGCCCTGATACCCGGTTTCATTGTTAATCGATGCGAGTGCGTGCTCGCGGTTACTGAGTCGCGAATCTCTACCTTCCCTCGGTTTTTCACCCTTTTTTTTCTCTCCTCTCCTTCGGATTTTTCATTGAAAACCGAAGAAGCGCGGCGGCGGCGGCGGCGTGCCACCACCGCGGGGCAAGGGTCAGGGGTCGGGGCGCACGAAAAGGGTGAAAACGTATAGCGGGCGCATGCGCCGTGACGCAACAATATGGTGAATTCTCCGAGGTAGCCCAGTATCCACCCGACCATCAGCTGATCAATATACTTCCGCACACACGCCACGTCATACGCGCGGCACACGCATGTCACGCATCGCGCGAACCGTTACGCGTGTAACACTCTGTGAACGTGCGAACGTGTCGGGGCCGCTGTGCACGCGGATCCAGGATTCCGTCGGGAACACGGTGACCCGCGGTGGACCCGAACGCTCGCCAGGTACGTCCCGCGAACCCCCGATTCGATCTGGTTTTTCGGCAGACTCGGCTTATCTGGGCTATCGAGGGTGCTCCGCGATTCTTCCCCGAATATTCAAATCGTCCGGCGTAATAATTTGCGACGGAACCATCGGTCAATAATCTTTTATATTTATTTCCTGTTTATCGTTCAATCTGTTCCACGAAATAATACAATTTTTAATGCTCCTCTGAACATTTTCAAAGACTGCGGATTGAGAAGTCTCACATTTCGTTCTATTTTTATGCCTCGATTGATTCACCGTTTTTGTAATTTGATTACAGAGTTAGAATTTTTATTGAAGTTCACGTCTCGATTGAATATCGATCAGTGAGTTTCACGTGCCTTACACGGTTCGCAGTTTTCTCATCGCCGTTTTTTCGTATCGGATACTCTCGCGTGTCAGTCATTTCACCGCGAGAATGCTCGACGGCTGCCAGCAAATTTCCTCGACTCAGACGATCGAGCATTGTCTCAGACGCGGGGCGCACGTGTGCATTTTGTGAAAACCGTTTCCCACATTCCCTTTGTTACTCCGGGCAAGGTAGACGATTCGTCGAAAGTAATTACCGAGAAACGTTAATGACGAGTAATCTCGTACAATTTACTGTTTAATCTTGAAATGTAACATCGAAATGTTCCCCGATCGTTTACGTATTTTCCCTTTTTTCTTAAATCTGTAAGAATTATTTGTAGAGATGAGGGAAACCAGGCGATTGAGGGATTCCTTTTTTCCTGTTTCCTTTATTTTTTACGAGATCAACAAAAATCCATTGAGCGCTCGATTCATTTTATTATTTGTTTGTGCTTGAAATGAATCTCGCGTGAGGTTGACGACGCCAATAAAAAGGAAACGGTTCGGTGGATCCGCGCGGATGAAATTTGGAGTAGAGCAGGTCGTTTAAGCGGACGCAATTAAAAGTTGACCGTTGACGGACGGCGCGCGGCGGGTCGATAGCGCGCCGTTAAATTATTCACTGATCCTAAACACGGTTCCAGATAATTTCTGTATCTACCGGCGAACAGCCGGCGCGGCGTTTTCGTGGACCGACGTGGGCGAGAGAGCGTATTTTTGGAACACGGCGTGTTGCAACATCCGCGGTGCTCCGCTGTGAACGATAAAGTTGAATGAGATTTAAATTTAATTCGGAAATGGCGGCCGAGTTCATTTGGTCACTCTCCTGTTTTTTGCCAATTCTATCCTCGAAACCTGGTATTAACGTCGCTACAGTTTATTGCCTAGATAAAACGCGAACCTAAATATGTTCCCTCGTAACGCAATATTCGTAGTAAATTCATCGGTCATTTATTTTATTCTGACGCAAGATTAAAGATAGTTTAATTTTACTCGAAGCTTACAAATCAATTTCAATATTTTATCCGGATTATCCATTAACTCGATGGAAGGGTGAAAAATGTGTATTTACAAAATCCTCGAGTTCCATCGCGATTTCTTTTTTGTCGATGAAATATTCCTATTCTTTATACGAAGATAATTAGTGCAATTTTTATAATCGTCTGATGTGATAAGAAATTGGTCGTTGCAACTGATTAATGAAATCTATAAATGAATCACTACTGAGTTAATTATTGACGATCTGAGAAATGATCGATTTTTAATGGCAGACAAGCTCGGTTGTTCATAACAGGTCCATGGGTCGGACATTATTCACGTGATAAAAAGAAAAAGGTCTGAGAGGGTGATAAGGGAAGTCGGAAGAAAACAGCTCGAGAAGCCCGCAACCGTGAAATTCTCTCGCCGCGTGGCGATTGCGGTGAAGTCGTTCATTGACTTCGCTCCCCTCGGCGCCCCCGCCCTCACCCCACCCTCGCCCGGATGCATCCGGATTATTCGTTCACGTCGTAGCCGAGTGCACTTACGCGGATACACACATACGCGTTTTCGTTCTCGAAACCCCCCCCTCCCCCGCTCCGTCCTCTCCCGTCCCTCTTTCATCCCTCTGTATCTCTTTGTCGTGGCTCCCTCCTCGTGATCCGACTCCCACCCAGGCCTAGTGCCTCTCCGTGACGAAGGAGCTGGAGAAGGAGGAATAGACGACTACTCGCGTCGGAAGAAGCGGGCACACAGCATTGCAAACTAACTCGTGTTCCGTTTAGTGCCGGTTCTTTTCCCAGTGACAACTCTCATCCTCTGTTGGCTCGTCGGTGTTCCGCACCGCAGCTCCTAAGGATTCCTCAAGGTACAACCGAAAGCTCTGGCCATGACTTAGCTCTTCCCCCCCCATCCTCTTCATCCTTCCCCCTCGCGTCTCTCGTTGTATTTTCTCGTTATTTCGACCTTGATGGACATCGAAATTGGGACACGGTTCTTCTCGAGAGGATTAATTGGTCGGCGTTGACGAGGGAACGAGCAGCGAACAACACGCACGGGGCAACCTTGCTCGCCGGCCGTCTTGTCGGCTAGTTAATTAGCAGTCAGGCACGTGGTGTTGGTTTGGTGGAAACAGTGAAGTGCGTGTGCCACCGCTCTCATAGTTTCTATATGTAATTGCGTAATTGGGAATCCTTCGAACGGTTCGCCGGATCGAAGTACACCGGTGTACGGAGTAATACGTGTAATTAATCGGTCGGCAAAGCGTCGCGGCGAATCCAGTGCACTTGGAAGTAGACCGCGGGTGCATTGTCAGTGCGAAGGTCCCGATTCTAATGGGATCCTGGGTTTATTAACACACGACTTTCACCGATGAAAGAACGCGCCGTTACGTCAACAGGCGTTCCACATACCATCGGTGCACGTATACTTATTATAGAGTGCCGTTGGAGAATCGTAATCGAGTGTCAATACGTGGATCGCGCTTGTCTCTTTTCGTACGGGATACGCGCTTAGAGAGAGAGAGAGAGAACGAGAGAGAGTGTGAGAGAGAGCGCGGGGACGATCGAGTGGATTTAAACAGTGTACGTGGATCACGTTTGGTTTTTTTTCTTTGTATGCGCAGGGCTTGCTGCTGATCTATTCCGGAGGCAACTGCGTGGAACGTCGTTATCATCGGTGAGTAACTGCTAACAGTTTTGCGTCGTCGCAAGAATGCAGCCACGCTTAATTCCGTATGCGAGGCACGCGGGCTCGTCGGAATTTAGCGACGACAATCGGCCCTGTTCGTCTCCCGCCACGATTTACGCGATCATAATCCGACGTATATGGCTGCTGCCCTGGAAAACAACGCCTGGTTGCATTCTGCCTGCGTCGTTCTCCATTGCTCGTTTCACGGTTCATCACATTTTTTTTCCCGAGGTTCATAAATGCAAACGCAGTCTTATCTATGTTTCTTACCTCTCTGGTGTAATCGCGGACGTACTCTTTAAATTTACGCTGTTTACTTTTACCCGTGTTGTAATTACGGCCGATTCTACATAAGAAACCCGACTTTCTAAAGACTATTGCATTCTGTAGTTCAGAATGACATAATAAGGCTCGAATTTATAGTCGATTCTCGCACTTGGTACTCGGCACTCAAGTGCGTCCAACCGTTCCGCGTTCAATGTACACATTTATATTATGTTCAGATTCTAAAAGTTTTATACTTCATGTTTGAAAAAGAAGTGAAAGAAGCGGAAAAGGAGAAAAACTATTGCGCAGCTATTCCGCTACTCTCACTTCTTTTTAAACATAACAATGTGTACATTGGTGGGACGCACTTGAGTGCTGAGTGTCAAGTGCGAGAAGCGACTATAAATTCGAGCCTAA